CCAATTCATGAATTTAGTACATATCTTCATGGTAAAATTAGCCAAAAAGATTATGAGCATGCCCAAAAAGTATGGAAAGAATTTAACTGCAAGACTTTAGCTGATTATTATACTAACCTATTTGCATACCAATCAAGTTCTATTCCCAAGAAACTAAAACTATGGATACTCACCTATCAGCAAGATAGTATCATTATAGGACAAATAAGAAAAAAGCTTAAACAAACGAACTTAGTGTCTATTACACACTGGCAACATGATATAAACACACAGCACTATTTGCCATATCCACTTCCACATATTACATGCAACCCATGTCCCGGTTGCGATCTTAACTCTAACCGGTTACCCAACTACTGTACAATTGAGGTCTCTAATATTCTATCTACACAGTTCCTTGAAAGGAAAATACACAACAAGCAGCTCAAACTTAATACTAATTATATTGACCTCCTATACTCTACAGCAATTAAACATCCTTTCACCCTCCCACCTTTACCCAGTATAAATATTGTAGACTCTTTAGCTTATAGCCTATTTCACATTAGCAAAGCAAGCCAACAATTAGTACAATTCACTCTTAGCAACCAAAATACACCAACATTCACCTTTTACACAGATAGATTAGTATCAGAAATTGGCTCTAGCAACTGCTTAATGGGGTTGGCTGGGTACAAATCTACAACAACCAAGTTGTCAAAAGCTTCTCTGCAAAGATTACAGACTGGCCATCATCATACAAAGCAGAGCTTGTAGCAATTCTATTAGCCATCTCTACACTACCACGAAATGCTAAAGTAGACATCTTTACTGACTCCCAGTCTATTATTGCTAAATACAATAAACTTCTACGCACTTCTACAAAGTCTACAAAATACTTCAAGTTTAACTACTGGCCTATCTGGCATTTAATTCTTAATGCTATCAAGGCCTTCAATATCCAACTTACTTTCCATAAAGTTTTAGCACATTCTGACAATAAGTTCAATAATACTGCAGACCAGCTAGCCAAGAAATACCAACAAAATACCCACATTCTTCAATTCAATCATACTAATATATACAATCCACATTCTATTATACAATGGCACAAACACAATATAGAGAAACCTACAAGGCAATTTGTCAAAACTATTGGCAGAGAACAAACTATAGCAATGTGGTCCTCCCAAAAACGCAATATAGAATGGGAAAGCCATGTATCTACAATCGACTGTACTCCACTTGGCGTTATATCAGCAATAACCAAAAAGCTACAACCAACATTACATCACCAAAATTAAGCCATATGAAAGCCTTTAGAGTTAAAAATTTGCTCAACGACTTACCCACCTACTCACACTTCTACCTTATTTCACCCAAAATCTACTATGCTCCTACCTGCTTCTTATGCAATAGCCCAGAATCAGCAACTCACTGGCTTACTTGCAACAATCCCCAAACCCTCAACCAAATCGTACACACCTCAATTACAGAGATTATCACCAAACTGTTTACTGACACACCACTTATACTACAAAGAGAGATTACAAACCTAATCGAATCTCATTCTTCCTTCAACTACTCTCAGCACCCCTCCGCACAAGTACACTCACTATCAATAACTCTAAAAGGGCTTATCTCCTCCCACCTACTACAAGGATTATCCACACTAGAGATACAATACAAAGAAGCTTCAAATATTATCATCCAGATACTACTACTTATATCCTCAGAGATATATGAACAAATTTGAAAACCATACTGCGAAAAATTCGCTAAATGGAAAAAAGAACACAAAATACCACCTATAATCAAAGCCCCTCTCTACTTCAACAAGCCCCCCATCAAAACCGCCAATCACGCAGAAAGTTCACATATAGCTGCCTTTGTGGCTTGCCGGACCAGCTCTATACTGACAATAATAGCTGCCCTCCTAAAGGGCAGGCTCAGCTGAATTTCAACCGATAGTTTGAATTATGGATCCAATATAGCATGTCTACAAATTATATATTAACTATTAATCTAGGTGAGTCTTGACCACTCTAGTAGGTTTAGGTCACAGATAATTAGTTTGAGTCTTTAGTTTTCTTTAGTCCAATCTTTTAGTCTGAGCTCTTATTCTTGCATGTAATTTATATCTATTTGTCTTGTACAAGTTGGGTTTTTATTATAATCACCTAAATAAATTACCAAATAAAGATATAAGCAAGGCCTCATCTTAATAACAAAAAAAAAAAAAAAAAATACTGATATAAAAATCTAAATTTTTATTTAAACTTAATTATTTTAAAAACCGCATAGAATTTTGCAATCTTTTTTTTATTTAAAAGATATATATTAAAAGAACTTATATTTTAATTTTTAGCTTTATATCTTTTATATTTAGCTTTGTACAAATTCTTAAAAAGTGTCCATAATAGCATGGTACCTCACTGTATATAAAATTTATATACACATGTATGCAACTAATAATTGGTTTGTATAAGTAAAATTTGCAGCACCTGTAATTATACAAGAAGATTTTGAGCTAAATTCTAAAGCTAAGTGCAAGTAAAATAAAATGCTAAGCATGTTCTACAGAACTTGAAAAAAATAAATCTAATGAAGTGTATTAATTATTTATTAACACTAATTAAATTATTATATAAAAAAATTTTTTGAAAAAACTTATACTAAAAAAAAATCTTTTTTTAGCAATAATTACTTTTAAATAATATATCTAGTTTAATCTGCTATACATTTAAAATCATAAAAATATTCATAGAACAGCAATTCTAAATATTAAAAAATTCTGAATACATTCTAAATAAGTTGCAAAAGAATTATAAAACAAAATGTGAACGAATATTTGAACCTGGAGAACTTATAAAAATTTATATACATGATATTTACAAGCTAAAGATGCAGCAAAGATCATTTCCTTGCAAAATTCTTCAAAAAAACCTGGAATTCTTGATAACTGATATCCAGTAAAAGCTTGAGCTATTGTGAACTTCTGATTACCCTAGCCTTAATGTGGTTTTTTTGAATAGCGAAATTTATTGCATCTGGATTTAAGCAAAACTCTTTGTTACAATTTTCAAGTCAAATTAATACAAAACCTCTGAAATAAATTTGTAAATAATTTATTGAAATTAAATAAATATTACATGCCACAAAATTAAGTTTTTTAAAAATAATTATAGTGGTAATCAAAGATCTAACAATGAAATGAATACTCTTGTTCATTAAGAAGCAACTAGTTTAAGTAGAACAAATCTAAAAAAACTGTTGCCATTGTCAAAAACTACTAGCAAAACTAAAACCTCAGTTGCTAAAAAAATATTAAAATTAATAATTATTATTTTTGGAAAATTCTATTTTGATCCAGGTATTTTAACCTGTCACATGATGACATGGCCAGTGTAGCTTAAAACGGGCTCTAAAGCCATAAAATTCCAAGTCACGTGATTAACACCTTTATTTTAGCCAATAAAATCACAGTATTAGGTAGGTTCAAGTAAACCCAAGTTGAACCAAAATTAGTTTAAGCTGAACCTGGATTTAGGTTTAATTTATATTTGTATTCGAATTTAGAGTTGATTTTTAGTAGAGGTGGCTACTATAGAAATATTAATAAGATTATAATATATAAACATAGTATTTGAGCTAATTTAAGCAAATTTGAGATTAGTTAGGATTAGGATAAGGTTATAGTATAGTTTATAGTTAGCTTTAGGGTTAGGGTTAGAGTTTTTTTATATTATAATCTTATTATATTTTTATATTGGCCACCTATACTAAAGGAGATCCAAATTTAGTACTCTAAATTAACCTGATTTAGGTTCAGGTGAACCAAAATTGGTTTAAGTTGAACCTGAATTCAGTTCATTGAATTTAATACTCTAAATTAATCTGATTTAATCAAAAATTAGCATGATTATATTAGCCTGTTAAAACTGAAACTTTTGGTACTTGCAAAATAGAATAACATGCAAAATTAATAATATGCAAAGTTAATAGCATGCAAAGTTAATGATATAACTTAATAAAGCTCAAAGTTATTGATACTCAAAGTTAATTATAAGCTATTATATCACAATATGTTATCAAGAATCAAATCAATATAAATTACTAGTTTATTTTGTATTGTTTTTTTTACTTTCTACTTATTGCTTTTTTCAAATTAAAAAATAAATTTTGAACCATCATTTGAAAATACTAATCTTAATAATATTGAAGCAAGTATTAATGAATAATTATTTGAAAATACTGACCTTAATAATGTTGAAGCAAACCTCAATATCAATTTCAAAAGATCATTCAACCTTAATAATATTGAAACAAACCTTGATAATATAGATTTTGAACAATTATTCAACCTTAATAATGTTGATGATATCAATATTAATACTAGTGATAATGAGAGTTCTCTTGATATCTTTAATGACAGTGTGGCTTTATCTAAAAGACAATTACTCTTAGTTAGTAATAATCAAATAATAATACAAGTTAAACAAACTTTCACTGATTGGAATGATGTTCAATAGCATGTCAATACTTATGCAATAAATAAAAGATTTGCTACAAGACTTTGATGAACAGAATGAAGTATAAGCTTTATTATCAGAGCAGATATTATTTGCCACTATGCTGGTACTTCAAGTAACACAAGTACTGGGTTGTGAAATACAAAAAGTATTGCTATTAATTGTCAATTTAAGATTGTAGTTCATTGGGCAAAAAAAGAATATTGTATAAGAAGTGTTGATCTTGGGCATAATCATATTTTGGACTCTACTACAATTATGTTTGATCCTGGTCATTGAAGATTAAGTCATAATGAAAATATATATATATAAGCACTCTATGATAGAAATATACCAGTACTAACAATTGTTAATATGCTAACTGAACAATATAGCAGATATATCCACAGTAAAGATGTATACAATTCTTTAAATTATCAGTCTCATGATTATGTAAAGGGTTTGCCACAAACTGCAGAATTGTTAAATAATTTGGATAATAACAATAAATATTTGGTTACCTATTCAGTTAATAATGTAAAGATTCATTGTTTATTTTTTGCTACACATTTTGCAATTTCTGCTTTTAAATATCATCAGAAATTACATTAATGGATTCTATATATAAAACTAATCAGTTTGGATAATTTTCTATTTTTTTTAAAAAATTAATTTTCTAAATTTACTTTTTTTTATTAAATTGTATTAATTATATTTAGTATGCCACTTCTTCTTATCAGTAGTATTAATGCAATGAGTATGGCATTTCTTATTGCAAGTTGTCTTCTTACAAATAAAACTGCACCAAATTTTTGCTAAACACTTTCTCAATTAAAGCAAATAGCTAGAGATATAATTATTCACAATATGTGAACTCTTGTAACTGATAGAGATCTTGCACTTATCTCTGCAATTCGAACAAAATTGCCACATATCAAACATCAGCTTTGTGTTTGGCATGTTGAGCAAAATATAGTTAAAAACTTAAATAACAAGCTCAAAGACAAATTTATAGCATTTAGCAAAGATTTCAAAGCAGTAATAATAGAAACTTCAGTAGAACAATTTAATATTTGGTGGGATTGTTTATTAACTGAATATACTAAGGCTAGCACTTATATGAAAGAGCAGTAGAAATCTCTTGAAAGTATGTGGGCATATTATTATACTAACAAGTATATTAACTATAGAATAAGAACAACACAACAATCAGAAGCTACTAATGCACACTTAAAATGTTTACTTAATCATATAGCACCTTTATTTGAATTAATTAATGCACTAGAAAAACTAACTCATCACCAACTTCAGCGTTATCAATATCAGCAGTTTATGTAATAGTGTTCGTCAATAAGGTTCTGAATTATTAAAAGATGTTTTAATAGCAGTATCAGATTTTGTATATGCTTTGTTATTAGAGCAATATAATATAGCTAGAGATGGGTAAAATGCGCATTTTATAATATCATGCGCATTAATGCTCATTAATGCGCACGTTATATAAAATGCGCATGATATCGTATGATATAATTTTTTTGGTTTTATATTTTTCCTTCGGAAAATATCGGATATTTGCTGAAGTTTTCCCCCAGCCCTTCTCATCTTTATGTTCATTCATTTTCTTCTTGGAATTTTTTAAAACTTCTGCATTCCTATTTCTTAATTTTGTCTGGAATTATACACCTTGGCCTAAATTAAATATACTTTCATTTTCCTTTATAAAATTTAGATAGGATAAAATGCGCA